CATGAACCACCTGCCAATTCAGACCCAACCTGGCAAAGTCAAAGCTGTCCTTTTGCAGCTGACTCTCGCCTTTCTTCAGATGACTCTACCTTGTCATTAATTTTCCACCCAAAAAGCCCCTGCAGCATGATCTGACCTACATACCCGTGTTGTCAGATCCTGCTCCTTTTCCCCGTCGGGACTGTCCCTGGGTGTCACCACACCCCTTTCAGCTCCCTGGCCAGGTGCCTCCTCACTCCTCCCTGCCCTGTCTCAGAATCGAACATTCCAAGAGGGGTTAGTGCTCTTGTGTTTCAAAGGGGATTTTTTTTCAGGGCCTTCCCAGCCTTAAGTCATCAGACTCTCCTTACTGCATTCCAATGACAGGCTGCTGAGAGACTTTCCCAACGAGACAAGGAACAAGGCATCACCTTGTTCGGACAAAGACCTTCCAGGGCTCCCACAGCGTCCAGTCCCTGGCAGTGAGTGGTGTGTGCCCTCAGGCTAATTTCTGCAAAATGCCTCCTTTCTTCATGGAGGTGTCTCCCTCACCAGGCCAGCGTGGATTACAGTGACAGTGTGCACATACGTCCTGTCTACAATGGCAGCTGTGCGCCCTCCACAGCTCCAGCCTCGTCGAGACTCTCCTGTCTTAGGCGTTGATTCTTCATTACTGAACTCCGATTCCACGCATATCCCAGCACCAGAACATCAGCTCCTGAATTTGGGACGTTTTATCTTTGTATCCTCACTGCCTAAGGCGATGCCTGACCAAGTGCCTGTAGAGTGAATGAATGAATGAATGAATGCATTTTGGCTCTGGATTTAAACATTGTTTCACATGAGAATTTCAGGTTGGCCCTTTCCTCCGCTTCTGCGAAGGTACTAAGGCCAAGGTGGGGTGAGGCCCTGACTTCATCTGGTGTGTGTGCACCATGCGCTGCAGCTGCCCGCCCGTCACTCGTCCTCACCCACTCCACAGCCTGTCTCATCCTGTATGATGATGTGACAGGCACGCCACGGAAGATAGGATCAGTTCCCTCATTAAAGCAGCAGTGCCAAGGTCCTGGCCAACTTCAACAGAGCCTTGTCGGCATCTGCATCCGGGGATGGTGGCCCCGCCCCAGCGGGAGGTCCTGCCCCAGCTGAGGAGAGAGTGGAGCAAAGAAAGAAGAATCTGAAGAGGCTGATGATGTTGTGGGCTTTGGTCTTCCTTTTTAAAATATGTTTTTATTGATCTCAGAGAGGAAGGGAGAGGGAGAGAGATAGAAACATCCATGATGAGGGAGAATGATGGATCGGCTGCCTCCTGCACGCCCCACACTAGGGATCGAGCCGAAAGCCGGGCAGCTGGAGCCATAGGCAGGGGGCCTGGAGGGCTTGGTGAGAACACAATCCCTTTCCCATCTAGCATCGAATAAGCCACAGGGATGTCTCCGGTACTTTTCCCCAACTGGCGCAGTGTATCTGAATTGGCAAGTTGGCTCTACTATCACTTTAAACGTTAAAGCAATGGTTTTTTAAGCAAAAAATTCAAAGACACGGGGATGTTTCCGGAGCAGGAGGATCAGAGGGAAAGCGGAGTCCTTTGGGGAGGAAATGAAGCAGGTCTGCAGTCCTTCTGACCACAAGGCTCTGCCCCCTCAGCTGGGGGAACCCAACACATCTGGCTAGTGATAAAAACTGGGATTTTATACCGAGAAAAAATAACAGGGATTTTGTAACGGCTCATATGAAGGCTGCCTGAGGGTTGGTGTTGCGCACACATGGTAGACTATTGATTTTTTGATACCACGTCTGATTTTGCAAATAGTTCACGCGTTACACTAAATTGAGTGACACACCTCAGGTAGGCAGGGCTGCAGCCTCCCAGCCGTGACACTGGCCACTTGAGACCAACTATCTCCCATCAGCCTGCAGCCAATTTCCACTGCAGTGACGTGAAACCGACAGCGAGCTGCTTCTCGCTTGAGAGTCAGTGGGCCTGAAAAAGCAAGTTGCATGTTGGACACGATTAGATTCATTAAGGACTTTATTGATAAGGCTGTGCAGGGCTCAGCAGTGTCTAATTTAGGTCCCAGGTACAACTGTGACAATTAAAAACGAGAAATTCAGCTCGCAGTGAACGATAGTCCCAGGCCTTTTGTTTTTCCTGGCGGAATTTTACAGTCAGCTCACCAGCACCCTGATGAGCACAGTCATACAAAGACAGTCAAGTACAAAAATGCGATAAATACTATTTATTGTGACTAATTGCTCAGGCTACTAGCTGTTATAAGAAAGTAACGATTCATAGTGAAAATAATATAGGAGAAGTAGCTTTGTAAAAAGCTCTTTATGATCTGCTTATAAATGTCAAACGCCATCCTCAACAACAAGACACGAACATGTTTCCTGCGTGGAAAGCCGAACACTGCGTGGACAGGCTGTCTGCTGAGAGCCAGATTAGCTTCTTGATACCAGGGGAGGCCATACTGTGAAACTGTACGCCGGCAGCTGACCGCTGAATTCCACCTGTGGCTACTGGGGGCTTCAGAGAGGAATTCCTTTGGCTGTGGCCACATTCAGTCCAGTTCCACCTTGCCTTTCTGATGCCGCTTCATTCTCGAATAGGGACTGATTGTATCATCCGTCACAAAGTCGTACAGGACTTTGATCCAGGAGTTGTAGTGGGGCAGGTTGTCGTAGTACTCAGCAGCTATCTTCCTCACCTGGGGGGGAGAGAACACAGCAGGGTGAGTGACGGGGGCTCCCCGAGGCTACTGAAGAGGACGGACGGACGTGTGACAGACACCGAGACCACGAGACCTTTCTCTCTCCTAACCCCTCCAATCAACCAAGCAGCTTCAGGAACTCTAAGCAGTTTCAACAGTAAAATAGACTTGACCCTGGGCTGCCTGACGCTTTGCTATCAAGCCCTGAGGGACTACATATCTGGTTTATTTGTCAAGCTTGGCCCTTGGCATCTTTACCAGCAGATACTTGTTATTTCTCAAGCACACCTGCAGGGATTATAGGATATAAAGGTATCACGTGACCCGGCCAAGGAGCCTGCAAATAGGAATGAGTTACCGTGCCATGCCCAGTAGATGGGCGCCTACCCAGCCTCAGCGAGGTCTGCCATCCCGAGCGGAGAATGTCTTTTGAAAGTGACGACGGCCAGTGTGACCAGCAAGCACACTGGTCCCATGGCTTCATCGAAATGTACAAAACTCTCCCGGTAACTCCCAAAGGGAGACAAACAGCAGGAGCCAAGGCGGTGGGAGACAGCGAGAGAAAGACTGTTCACGCTGAAATCACTCCTTCGGTTCGGGAAATGTAATAGTATTTTCTGGTTGTGGAGAACCAGACGATGTACCACTCTCAGGGAACAATGAAGTCAGAGAGAGCTTCCCACAGGGTATTCTCAGTCCGAAGAAACAGAGTGATCGAATACCTCTGGACACAGCCCTTCAACATTCCTCAAGTTCTTCCACGAATAAGGATATCCACAGACCACACAGGTAACTACACCTGGATCCTAATCCAACTGAACTTAGGTCGGAGCCAGCGGTAAGCAATGTATTCTAACAGCTAGAGTTCTATCTTTCTGAAAAAGCAGAAAACCAGAACAAGGCCATTCTTGATGTACACTCCTTGGTGTATGTGCCTGGAGTGGAGAGAAAAAGCAGGAGGGGAGACTAGAGAAGTCTGAGGGCGTTTGTGCGTTTAGCTGAGGAGGAAGGAGGCAGCATGAGATACAGGGGAAACGAGACATCCATGAGCCACGGGCCTTCGAGTCCAGTAACACCTGAACTGAACTAAGTTTTCAGTCTGGGAAAGAAAATAACAAGGACAAGTATGTGGCTTATGTTGGAGAAGGTTCTCTCGTTCAAAGGGCAACCAGCTTTCTCCACAACCTTTTACAAAGTAAGTAAAAATGTACTGCCTACTTGGGGAAGAGGCAAAGGCCAACACTCCAATGCTGGCCAGCATGCGGGCACAGTGACAAACTAGTGTCATGTTACACCGGGTCCAAAGTGGCTTTTAGACAGTCGTGTGGTGTGTTTCCCCGTTTTATTTTGATTTACTACAGAAAAGCTGACGGGCCCTAGCCAGTTTGGCTCAGTGGATAGTGTCGGCCCACAGACTGAAGGGTCCTGGGTTCGATTCCGGTCAAGGGCATGTACCTCAGTTGCAGGCTTGTTCCCGGGCCCAGGTCGGGGCATGTGGGGAAGGCAACCAATCAATGTGTCTCTCTCGCATCGATGTTTTTCTCTCTCTGTGTCTCCCCCTCCCTCCCACTCTGTCTACAAATCAATGGGAAAAGTATCCTTGGGTGAGGATGAACAGAAAAGCTGATGGAATAGTAAAACAGCCATATGCTCGTCACCTAGGCCCACCCATTCACACTGTGTCACAGTCACTGTCTCTCTCTCTATAACACACACCACATACTTTGCTTTCTTTGCTGAACCTTTGAAAGTAAGTTGCAGACATTCTGTGACAACTTACCCCTAATATCTCACCCTTAATAATCAACATGTATTTCCTGAGGACAGGGACATTTCCCCACAAAATCATGGTACCATTTCATTCCCCAGAAGTTGAACATCAATACATGATCTATTACACCGTCCAGATTCAGAATTTCCCCACTGACCCAATGTCCTTTCTAGATTTTTCTTTCCTCAATTGAAAATCCAATCAAATGTTACATATTTAAACACCAAACACTGAAAAACTTTATGAGGAAATCTATAAAATGTGATTGGGAGGCAGTAATAGCATAAAATATCTGGCTTATATTGATTGGTTTAAAAAAATCAAGAAAAACTATTATTACATTTCATACATATGTACTTTTTTTTTTTTTAGATGTATGGAAACAGTTTTTATCAAACTGTAAAAACTACCCATTTTGAGGATGGAAAGTCTAAGAGAATTTACCAGAAAGACACCTGAAGTTAGGAAGGTGGTCCTTTGGAGGGGATGAAAGGTGAGGGTCAAAGTTTCTTTCATTTATTCCACAAACAATACACTAAAACGTCTACTGTGATGAGAACAGATGGCCCCTGCCTAGGGAGTCGGCAGTTCAGGAAATGGAGTCCATTTATCCTGTACATCAGTTATGTGGACCTCTGTCTTCCACAATAAACCAACACTAAGTCTCAGTTCAGCCCATGCAGGTGAGTAGTGAGGAAGGCCATGTGTTCCCTTCCCGTTCCTGAATTACGTGGAAGGTAGCGGACTGTGCAGATCCTCCGACACTTCTCAACCCTAAGGGTTCCTACTGGGCTCCCGGGTCCCGGAGTGGGAACTCTGAAATTAGGCTGGCAGACTCAGGGCTTCTACTCTCGTTTTCTTTGATGAGAAGCTCACTGTAAAATATACTAGATCCCTTTTAAAACAAGCAAGTTGAGACTAATTTTGATCACATAGCCGTCAGAAATTAGTGTATGTATGCTATCCCTTACTTACCAGTGGAAGGTTTTTTCCGGGAATGTTGGGGAAGTCGTGGTGCTCATTATGGTAACCCACGTTGAAGGTAAGTAGATTCAGAGGCCCATAATACGAGTAAGTTTCATGTCCCTTTAAGAACATGTAATGTTCAGCTATAAAATGTCCAGAAATCGGATGCAAACCTAGACCAAGTAAAGATGCTGCCAACATGTAGACTAAAGACTTAATTCCCAAAACGTAGTAAATGATCACGTCAAATGTGAGCTGGACCACAGTATTGATTATTTCCAGGTGAGTGATTGGCTTGGGGTTGATGAACAGAGGTCGAAAAGCATAGAAGAGAGGCTGAAGAATGACCCATATGAAC